TGGGACAAGATGAAGATTCCATTGTCTCTCTTTCATATGGCAAATATATATTTTTTTAAATCTGTTGCTTTTCTACACTCTTTGAGAAAATGAATTTAACCAATTTTTACGTTTCAGAATATAAATTATTCCTGACTATTGCCTGCTGCCTGCCGCTTAGGATAAATTTCTTGTATGTTATTTCACAAAGTAACAGTTTGGCAAAAAAAAAACAACAACAAAGCTCCAAGAAATAACAAAAAAAATCATAAGGAGTGTAGGTGACCAGATGACGAGGTGACCACAAAACATCAAACTTTAATAAAAGCTCCAAAAATAAAGTGACAATGAAGTGTCTGGGTTTATTTAAAATGCCCATTTATGGCCAGATGTTGCACACAAGATAGTTTATAAACCCAGTGCGGTAGCAGTGGAATACATTATTTAAACCACAAACGAATTAAAGACAAACTGACATTCAAGACCACAATAAGAGCAGAAAAAGCGATTTATCTTCTAAGTGACCTGAAATGGGTTACTAATTTCGTTTACGGGTTAAATGTGACCTTATTAAATTTTTTTTATGTTTTAACAAAATTAGCTACATAAATGAAAATACAGGCAGACCTTTATCGACACAAGAAAACAATTTTGAACTTTTTGAATATTTTATAAAAGAAAAATCTAGCTTTAGAAAAATTTGTGCAAACTTTTAATTAAAATTAATATAAATACTATATTTTTTAGAGTTAAAGCTTTAGAATTTTATACGTTATGCACATAAGAATCTTTTAAATATACTACATATTTTAGTTACTAATGTGTAAACTCGATTCATTTTATTAATACAATTTACTTATATGTTAAAGTTGCCTCGTTGATTATACCTAAGAATAGTGATGTGCATTAAAAATAATATTTTAATATTTATTTTGATTTTTATTTAGTTATATTATTATTATAAGATTTTGTGTGCAGAACACTATAGGCAGATTTTTATAAGAATTATTTATAATATATTTATGCATTAAAACTTGTAATGCTGGTTCAGACTATATATGATTTAATGTTTGCTTTTCAAAATCAAGTAGCAGACAAGGATGAGGATATAATAGGAATGGAAAACTATGAAGCAGTTATACTTAATTGTATTCAAAAATTTCAATCAAGTACAGAATCCCTTAAATCTCATAAATAAAAAAAATTATTATCAATAAGTAATATCCAAACCTTACTATGATATCCAAAGTACAGAGAAGTAAGAAATTACTACTTTATATAAAAATCACTTTTATAATTACAAACAGTGTATTCTACTCTTTTAACTTTGAAAAATTTTTGGGTTCAGTTATTTGATTTGAAAATTTTTCTAATAGCTACTGTTTTACAGGGTTTTTAAGAAATTAACACTACTGATACTTTGTCAAGTGTTAATAAATAAATATTGTTTAAAATATTTGAAGTCATTAACATAAGTAAATTCTGATTTTACAAATTTTTATCCTAATTACTTTTATCCTAATTATAGGTACTGATTAAATTGTTATTTCATTAATGTTAAAATATTTAAGATTATTTGATAGAAGTTTGTTGTTAAATTTTATTTAAAATTCGATTATCTATCTGTGTTACCTTCTGGCAGTAATAACAATAACTACAAAATATATAAATTCAATTTAATTACCAAAATAAAAATAGTCCGTACAAATTTCTTTAACCTAAGGCATTTTTCGATTACATTAATTACTGCACAAATGTTTATGTTTACTACAATTTTGATAGGTTGAGTATTTAGTACATATCACAATGATTTATTCTCTATTTAATCAAACAAAAAAAGAAAGTAATACTAATTTCTAAAGTTATTGGCTAATTATTAAGATTGCACTTTATGTTATATCTTTTTTTTTTAAAACATAAAATTAAATAATTATTTTAACACAACAGTGGAATATCAAAATATCTGGGAAGCGATTCAAAAAAAAAACAATTTGAGTTATTAAAAAGTTTTCTCTTTACATTTTATTGAGTAATTTTAGAAAAAAAGAAGTAAATAAAAATCCTTAGTCTTTAGTATTTTACTTAATAGTCAAATGTAATTCTCTTTCGAATTACATTAATAATGTCATTTTCTTGTACTATGTGGGGACGGATATGGGAAAAGACGTACCTTGCAACTAAGAAATTCTAGCTCATATTCAAGTGTATAATAAAAGGATCCAAATATTTAAACTTTGAATTATAAGAGTGTGAACCCGTATATATTTCTTTATAACGGTTTAACAAAAATCTTCTTTATTTGTAATATCGTCACATTTGTAATGGAATTGTGCTTTCTGGTGTATTTGCAATTAATGAAATCGATTAACCATTTGGTTCAGAAATAGTGATCATATAGATCATAGAATTTGAATGCAGTAATATTAATCAATTAAACTATTTACCACGGATTTGTAATTTTTGTAATTAACAATTATTAATCTCTTATAATCATTATATTATATTAGATTTGGTTGGGATATTTCGTACCTGGAGAGAATATATAAATAAATATATACGAACAAATTTAATTGACAATATCAAAAACTTTTATCTCACCATTAGTTCAGTTTAGATTGGCAACTAAAGCCAATTTAACATAGATATGTAGAAAGCTTTTTCTAAAAGACATGATTATAAATATTTCTATTTTTTAAATATATTCTGCTTGTATGTGAGTTATTCTGTTTGTATATTTAACTCTAAATATTCTGCTTGTATGTGAGTTAAATCCAAGCTGAGTCCATAAAATTCAATCATATACTATCTGCATTTATTATTTTTTCAACAAAATAGTTAATAAAAAAATCAGTGCTGATCAGTCAATCGATTTTGATCCTTCCGAAAAGTATTCTTCTAAAAGATTTAGAGATTAATTTGTATTAAAACAGACAGCCAACACTATATTGAATAAACAAGAGAATTGAGATATAAATATATAACTTTTTCAATATCGCTTTCAACTTATCATTCAAAGTGGAGTACCATGTTTTTCTTCCAATGGAGACTCTCATAACCTACTAATGGTGGTATAGTTATGAACAAGATTTGCAAATATGCATTAATACAACGAATGCAAACAATAAAGAAGAAGCTTTGTATCTCAAACTAACCTATTAATTAATGAAAAATATATATATGATATTTTAAAAATGAACTATCTTTTTGATGAGGAATTATGGATGACATACTCCAACATGATTTGCATAATGAATTATCACTGCTAACCAAACAGAAAAGCTACTTAAGCTTTATGTGTATATTTCTTGAATAGGTTATAAAATATGGAATAATTCTAAATAAATAATAAATAAATAAAATGAATAATGAATTGTTACTTTTTTAATGAATGACCTGACCAAGTAAATATCAAAACTGAAAACAAGCATTGCATAAATAATACAATAATATTCTGGAAGTTCAAAATTTATAGATAAGTACAAATACTACTAATAGTTTAAATGCAAAAGTTTATATAAAATTTTTGTAAATGAAATAGATTTACCATTATCAAATTAAATCGCTTTTATATGAAATATATCAACTACTATCAGATAAAAATGAAATGAAAATAAAAAAGTAATAATAATAATTTAATAAAACATAAGTAAAAGCTTTTAAACAACAGAGATAAGTTGATATGATGCTCTTTTTGGTATAACCAAGAATAAATAAATTTATTAAGTCAACATGACAACATTTTAAATAAAATATAAAATTTTTAATGTTAACAAGTCACGTTTGAGTAATTGTTTATCTTTTGGGAGCACACATCACATCATGCATAATTAAGCAACGCTTGTTGCCTGTTCTGCGAATTCCTCTCAGGTGAACACGTCGAAAAACTTTTCTAAGAGTTTATTCAAATGTGTCTTAAAGTCATGAAACAGAAAAAAAATCATCTTAAAATCAGGTAAGAAAGCATTTTTTATCTTAATAGAATAACAGCGAATGTGATTATGTGTACGATAATAATAAGAATGAAGAGCTCATATTCAGAATTGCAACAAGGACGAGGAGGCACGCAACGGAAACAGGGAATTGAATATAAAACATTTTTATCTGAACTTTGATTTCGTACCAATTTAATTAATTTTCTAAATATGAAAAGTTTCTACTTATAGAAATCAAATTGAAAAATTTGTTTTAAATTGTTAAAGAAGGTAGGCAAAATCGTAGAATTTCACATGCAGAACAAGTCAGAACAAGTTACGCCTGTTTCATATGAATTTTATATGAAGTTAAAATGAAATAAGAGAGCAAAAATAATAACTGTAATAGAATTACTACCTTGAAGCGACAGATTGCATATGAGCACATTATGCAAGTTTTATATCTGAAACAATGTAGCAAAATTTTTACTTCAAGAAGTTTAAAAATTAATGCAAACTTAATGTATCTCTGCAAGACTTACTAAAAGTTGCATTTCGGTAGCAAGGCTGCAATATGCATATACCATATATATATATCAGCATCTCTCTACAGTTGCAAAAATTCGATTTACTTCAATCTAAGTAATGTATTATATTAAAGCAATTTTAATATATTCATATTCATTAGTTGAATGAGTTGGATAAGTTATCAAAGGAAATAAAATGTTTTGTGTATATATACGTGTGTGTGTGGATTAAATTACAAATAAATATAATCAATATGAGTTCCTTTAGATTGAATTCATGCTAAATGCAAAAATAATTACTTAGCGCTCATATTTTGAAATGGAAATTTCAAAAATTTTTAAATTTCTTTTAATTTATATAAGTAACCAAATAATTTTATTATTCTTTTTTAATTGCAAGCTTTTAGTACAAAACAGAAGCAGTTTAAATTGAAAAATGTTTAGTGTTATATACGGATATATTAAAATGTGTTGGGTAGAAATGTGAGGAAAGTGTGCAAATAATATATTTTACAAAAACTAAATCATATCAAATTTGCATGCAAACACTAAGCTAATTTAAATAACCAAGCATAACCCATACCAAAGCGTATATCCTTGCGCCTAGAACCCGTTCCTGTTCCAGAGTGCGATGCTCTTGCCCGTAATATACGGGGTTGCGCCAAGCGTTTTATACGTTTTAGTAAATTGCTGACATAACCCTTATGACTATCAAGTCCCACATTCGCAAGATGCAACAGTTTGTTATTAAGAATTTTGTTAGTTGCAGTAGCAGAGGAGATTATTTGATTAGTTGCAGGTAGGAATTTATGAATATTGTAAGCATAATCCGCAGCATTGGGTTTGGTTGCTAATAAAATGTTGATGAGTAATGTACATAATTGTATTGGGCGAAAAATATATAAAAATTAATGATATAAATTAATTACATACAAAATACAAAATGCATACAAAATGCATTTTGTATGCTGCTTAGATAATTAATACTAATAATTAACATTTCGCTCATGTGTTTATATTATTAGTAGTTTACACTCACTTTTTACACGCAGCCATGTATAAGATGATTTTTCACCGACATCATTTTTCGCCAAGCACTGAAACATTGCCGAATCGTCTAATGAAAGTTTCTTGATATTTAAGGAATTGTCTTCGCCTACAACGTATCTATAAAAATTATTTATTTAGTATGTATTATTAGTAAAAATTATTTTTGAATTTTTATATTTGCTACAGTTTCATTCATTTCATTTCTACTTACTTGCCACTATTCACGTCAATTGGATCAGCATTTTTAAACCATTTTACTTTCGGTACTGGATCACCAATAACATCGCACGGTAAAGTTACCAAAGTACCAAACTCACCAAAAGTATCTGTTCGCATTGGTGTAAAAAATGTTGGTGGTTCGAGCACTTCAATTTTAGCTGTTGAATTAACTACAGCAAACGCATCGCTACGTAAACGTACTTGACACATATACTCGCCTGAATGTGTTAGGTTTGCGGATAGCAATGCAAGCGAACGATTCCAAGGATCATTGAGTGTATGCGCTACACCAGCATTCTCTATTACAATACCATCCTTATACCAGAGTGTTTCTAATTCATATAAAGGCCTTGCATTTGTTATGCATTGTAGCTCCACTACTTGTTCGCCCCGCTTCAACTTCATATCCTCCGGATGAACAATTATTTCCGGTGTCACGTCCACGTATGGATCGCCCGTTACATTCAAATGAATAAAAGCGCTAATCTCCTCCTTACCCAACTGTGTATTGAAAGCACGTGCCCTATACGCCTTTCGATCTGTTTCATCGGTGCTTAATATAATCAATTGATTCGATTTAGTAAAAGCATATTTGATGTCGTAGTTAAGAGGGCCCTCTTCTGTTTGCCAGATAACGGAAGGCGTTGGCACTGACTCAACGGGTGGTAAATCGAAAACGGCTGGATGGCCGGACTGTACTGCAAGTTGTCCTTCCGTTACGTTTTCAAATATGCCCATGTCTATTAAAATGCGTTTAAAAGTACAAAATAAATTAATTGTATAAATATGAAATGGAAGGAAAAATAAAATAAAAATTAAGACATTTCACTTCCAATGAAAACAGTTTGACTTCATTTAAATGGTTAGAACAGAGAATGTGTGGTACATAAAATGAAATTGAAAAAATTAAACATACAAAATGAAGTCAAATAGCAATTAATGTAATCAAAAAGAGGACGCTACATTCGGTCTTAATATCTGTATTAATGTTATTTATTAAACATGTTGTACTATGATTATTTTACTAATGATTAAATGGATTTGAGACAAGTTTACTCAAAATGAAATTAAAAATTAAAAAAATTATATTTAACAAATTGAAATATTAAAGTCCTAAAATAATTATTATCAAAAACTCACTATGATATTTATAATTTCTCATAAAATAATTAATTATTTTATTCATTTTAAGATTTCTGTATTTATTATTATTTAAGTTTATTCTATATACTCTTCTAGTTTCATTTTCTACTTCTTCTAGGTGCCTTGTCCGCTTCGAACGTTGGCTAATATGATTGCTATTTTGATTTTAAATGTTAATAATGTTGATTTTATCTACAGCTTCTCGAAAAAGTGATCTTGTACTTTTATTAAACCATTGACGTCTAGTTTCATAGCTAACAATTTATTACTAAATTTTGATTTATTACATACTCATAATTTTACATACTCATAACACATTTATACTTCGTAAAAAGTCAAGAATGTTTCTTAATAAGTGATACGAAACTGATAAAACATTTATTTCACTATTTATCATAAACAAAATCTAAATGAATAGTTATTAAAAATTTTATGAAATTAAAGTACTTTTAGACTTTTATTTTTAACAACAATTTATTACTATATTATAACCAAAAACTTAAAGAATCTATTAGTTAGTCCAGATTTATGTAGAGTATTAAAACAATAATTAAAGTCAATCTATGGATTTTTTACAAATGTATCTCACGCAATATGTGCGTTGACTAATTAATATAAATGCTACTCCAAAGTTAACATTCTTATACAAGACTTAAGTTAAATTACTGTTAAGTGTTCATTTTAAGATAATTGCAGTGCCTTAAGACAAAGAACACTCCCACAAATAAAAAGCAGAAATTTTGTTTTAAATAAATTGTGTCGTTCAATTAAAGATGTAAAAAGGTCATGTGCAAAAAGCATATCAGAATTGAAGACGTGGCAGACAAGAATCCAATTTGCTGCGTACTATTCGTGTTATATGAAATATTCTATGGCTGAGTATCATGAAGACCGACTAAAGAAACAAACTGAACAACTCAAGCTTGTAGTGAATCGAAAGTGTATTTAAATATGGTCTTTCATGAAATAGTTTCCTTCTAGGGTGTGCGTTTCATCGATAATTGAACAGACAGTTGTATTCATCGTGAAAAATTAACAAAAAAAAATGTAATAACACAAGTCTTTTGAGGGAATAGATTTGTAGTTATTATAAAAACATAAAAGATTTATATACATATATTTTATTTAACAACTATAGGTATACTATATATGAAAACTTGTTTTTGTCAGTGTTGATATGTTACTTACATGCAACGACTACATCAATTTTTTCGCTAAATATTGAACCGGCGTCATTTTTTGCAATGCACTGATAACTGCCAGCATCTCCTCTCCTTGTATTGTGAATGCGATAGTACTGACTGGGTGAAAAGTCACCAATTGGTACTCCATCCTTAAGCCAGCGGTAAGTTGGTTGTGGATATCCTGAAAGATAACAATGAACGAAATGAAAATTTTAAAGGAACTATGAAATGAAATGAAAGAGGAAAATTAAAAAAATTGCTTGTAACTATTAGATAAAAGATTTAATAGAAAATGGCACAATTGTACTATCAGAAAGGGTTCGCACAAAAAGATTTTTATCGGTAAAAATTTAATTTATATTTTTCTAAACACTATAAAATATGAGGTTGTAGTTGTAAAACGTATTTATTTAATAAAATTTGCTCTTTCAAATCTTTAAATTGGTATTTATTTTGATAAAAAACATTGACTCCAATGAAGGTTATTTCCTGTATATATTTTTTAAAATCAGCAACAGTAAAAATCTTAAAGGATTAAAAAAATATAAGAAAAAACTTAAAGAAAGTAAAAGCGCGCACAATACAAGATAAGACAAAAAATGGATATTATAAAACAGTGTCAAGAAAAACAATGAATTGTGTATATATATTCATAAAAGTAAAATAATAAAAAAATCATAATATATATGTTTTTTTTTTAGAAATAGCCTCCACAATATTAGCAGATATTATTTCTTACTTTAAAAAACGAACAAATCAATTCCTATATGGAGGGCTGATCCATACATAGATACAAAATAATTTTTAAATAATCAAGAACTGGTCTTTTTCTAAAAATGAACTGAAAAAAATTATTGAAATAAAATGAATAATAGGATTTTTGAAAAATTATGTTTGATTTTTAAATGTTTGTTTCCATACTATCACTTTCCAAGATAGTTTATTATTTGACAAAAAAAATTAAATTAGATCAATCTAGCTAAAAAATTGTCTTATAGTTTTTAAAGAGGTTTTTCGAACAGTATTGAACTACAACAAAAAAAATTAATTTAATATTATTTTAATTAATTGAATTTTTGGCTGATCATACAGCTGTTTCGAGTATTGCCAAATACCCATCATTAATTAAAATAATTAATTAAATTAAAATAATATTAAATCAATTGTTGTTGTTGTAGTTCACTACTGTTCGAAAAACCTCTTTATGAAGTATACTAGTTTCTATTAAATGTAGGTAGTTAGTCAATTCCGTCAGAAAAATATGACGTTAAATTACAACTTATTTCTTTTTAGTTAAATTAATAAATTTTAATGAAGTCATAAGAAATCAGACAAAATAACAACAACTATTATTTACAACTTTATTGGTTATTCAACAAAAGTTATATCTTATGTTATAGAATAATTTGATAAAATAAAAGGTTATAATATCTGTATAACAATATAAAGACAGAATGGATTCATAAGTTCTAGCTGTGGAGTGTCGTAGATTTTAATGTAGATATAATACAGCAATGATATGCTTTACTGCTAATACACTTCTTTATATCACGGATATCATGAAAACCTTAATGAGAATATATATAAGAAATAAAATATAAGAAGAAAACCCCGAAAATTAAAAGTACGCTCTTCTAATTTATTCATTTAAACAGCAAATATTTAATTAAGTTACTACTAAGAAGAGAGCGTTTATTAAGCACAGCACAAGCGTTTTTTGTACGCTACATTAATTTCTACAATTGCTTAAGAAATAAAGATAAATTTATAAGATAAACAATTTGTCACGAGAAGTAAAAAAAAATATTTTTTTAATATCTCTATAAATGCATTATAAGCATAGTGACAAACTTTGATTTTTTTTAAAGTACTACATCAAAAAATATTTAATTCTTTTTAAAACAAAATGAAAAAATAAATTATAACAAAAAAAATTATAGCAGTTTATTATATATAACACCGACCAAATTCTTGATATAACTTCAACCTATTTCCGGTTTAGTGCTAAACTCTGTAATTGATCTCTTTTGAATTGTGGTACCAAACCTATTTCAAAAAGGATATTATATGTGTCACAATAAACATTTTTTCGAGTGTTTTAACATTCGTTACCCGAAAGTGTGTGCTACTTCCAAAAGAGATGTTACTGTAGTCTTGTGCCATTGAGGCCAAAATTGAATAAACTGCACCATAAAATGTGATCTTTATTTTTTCCCTTTATCACAAACACATCCTGTTGATTGGCTTACAATTGTAAAGTGTTATTTGTGTTAGCACAGCAAAATAAAAAATAAGGATAAAAGTGACATCCTCACTTACAGTTCGAATACCAGGATATTTGATTTTTACATAATACTTTTTAGTTTCGTTGCGATCTAATTGTCTGATACGCTGTGGACAACCATTTTAAAACGAAAGAAATAAAATGCTTTAATAATTTTTTAATTCTTGTTTATTACAATTTATAAAATAAATTGTATTGAAATAAATGGGTATTGTATATAACATAGACTAAGTAAATTTAAAGATACTTTTGTGTTGTTTAAAACTTAAATATATGATATACGAGAACTTACTCAATTTAAGTGTCTTTGAAAGCAACATTATAGATTTTTATTGTAAAAGATATGTCACTCCCTTCACCTTTTCAATTAACATGCGCAAAATATTTATTATATCTCTCTTTTAAAATATTTTCTAAAGCTACTTTGAAATTCATTTTCATTTATCTGCATTGCTTCCTCTAAACCTAAAAGGACAAGCAGTACATAAGCCTGTCGCTATTTATTTCAGCACTGCTATGGCATTTTAATGAGCGCATGAATAAAATATATGATTTGTTAACTGCTGCAACTGATATCCTTGTGAATTTCATACAATCTCTTTTCACTAAAATTGAGTCTGTCTTCCAGACAAATTTGAAAAAGTCACAAACCTGATTTAAAATAAAACGTACATACCCGTATGAAAAAGCGCACAATACACATAAGGAAGGAGGAATCATTGACTGCATAAAATAGATTGAGCAGTAAGCGTTTTATCAAAAGCCTGCGGATGAAACTACTATTCACTTGTGTTAACGTTCATTTCAGATTTTCAATGCACTATGCGCTTTCTCAATGTTGCCTCAAATCCGCAGCAATTTAGTCAACACTTTTGAAAAACAAGTGGAGCAAGTACCGTGCACCCATCGCATGCTACGCTATTAGGCTTGCTAACGAAATACTTTGTGTGGGCGGGCATTGATGCATTAATGCATTGAGTATTGGATGCACGTTTAGGTACTCAAACGAATTTCTTACGGAATTTTCAAAAAATGGCCTGAATAAAAAGATATAAAATAAATACCGCAAGGAAGTATCAAAAAATAGAAAATAGGATTTTTAGGTTCTGTGAAACTTATAGTGTGAAAAAAGCTTTCATGTGCTGCAACTGTTGAGTCTCTCGAGATGCAGCAGTGAAGCCACCGTACGCACTGCACAACTGAGCATCGTTTCACAAAAGTGTTTTGAATTGCTTGTGAACTTCAATTTGTATGGCATTAGAAAACGTTTAGATGGAGAAAAGGGTTAAGTGGAAAACGGCTAAAGAATTTTACGTCTTTCCTTATGTAGTTATGCTACATAAGTTTTTTCATGTTTTGCTTTTATTAAAAAACTATAAAAAATTGAAGATAACTGCAATATGACGCGCTCAAGAAATTTAGGTGTAATAAAATATTTTAGTGCAATTGGATAAAATGTATGCTCCATTACAGGTCTTAGTGTTATTTTGATATGAGAGAAATTAAATTTAAATAATTCAGAATATTGTTAATAATTCAATCATTTCAATTAATTGTAAATATTTTTTCTTTTTGTTTATTTTTCATGTATTTTTAATAAAGACAAGCCGATTTTGACACCTTAATTAAAGTTTTGACTTTGAAAAGAGTCTTTAAGATAAATTACAAATTAAGAAAGTATTTCGAATTTAAGACTTTTATAAGCTGTTATTAAAACTTTTGAAAAGTTACAGCTTGAGTAATGCCATTTACTCTTTTTTAAATCATCCAGTTTAGAAATTATTTTTCTGAAAACTATAGCAGGGGAAGTTACTGCTAGTAAACTGACAAAAACTTAATTTCCTTGATATTTCAATGAAAAAGATAAAAATGTTATTAACCGAACAATAAATTTCTTGTTTCTGGTATATTTTCTACAGAAAGTTCTCATTAAATAGAATTACATGAAATTGAAAATAAATAATGCTAAACAGAATAAACTGTAAAATATTACTATTAAAATATTTGTTTAAATAACAATGTAAAAGTATAAAAAAAATTAAATTAAAGAATTTGACTCAATAATTTCTTGAAAAGAAAAAATCACCTTTTAAATGGATAGTAATTTCACAAATCACCAATTTATTGTATTTACAATTTATCGAAGAATCTTATAAAGTTTATTTTAAAAATCTTTTCATTTCAAGCGTTTAAAAGCAGAACAACTTTACAATAGATTAATATGTAGAAATATATAAAAATTTTTCGTTTGAAGTGATTTATTATTTTATTTATTTATATAAGTGGGTTACAACCCGTATATGATGTCGCAGACATCCTCTAAAGTTCCACTCGGTAGAACTTTTATAAATACGTTGGCAAGAGACTTTTAGTCTTAACTATTGACAATTGTCGAATCAAGTGCTATATAGTTTTCTGAACTTGCGCTACTGCAATAAGAAGCTTTTACTGAATATTGCTTACTATACATTTTTTTTAGAACTTGTACAACTTGTGAGCATATACTTAATATCGATTTATTATTTTAAAATAAAGGGTTACCAATTTCGTGGTCTTAATTTGTCAGCACTGTTTCAGTTACATATATTTGATATTTCCACCCAATATTTGATATGTTCAGTTTAAAGTTTATCATTTTGCAAAATAAGCCATTTGACAACAACTGAATGTGTAAGAATTTTTAAAATTTACTATACGTTAAATCTGTACTAGGAGCATTTCGCATCGAAACTTATCACAAGTACTGTTAAAAAACCATTACATCTACCAACCGTCACTATATAATCACTATAATATAATATAATCACTATATATAATCTGGAGGTGTGCGTGGCCATAGTTTTTGGAAAACTTACGAACAAGTGATAAATTCTGATCGGTAGTTTTATACGAGTATA